GAGTGAACTTCCAAGGGTAAGTGAAGGAAAAACTGAACTTAATTTCTGTAAGAGTTTCCTTACCTCGTGATTATCCTAAGACACACTAAGGTAAGACATGAAGGAAGTATTCATATGCCTCCTTCAATAAAAACCAAAGCAATCCTTGAGACTACCCCTTTCGTCTTACTCAACTCGGGATAAAAAAGCCCCTCATTCAACGGCAAGACATTAAAAGAAACCCATCAAACCACAAAAGTCTTCCCTTTCAGAATGACTACTTAGTGCAATGAATAGACAACGTCCCATAACACCACCTACCCTAAGTAGTACATTCTTTTAGAGGGTTTGGCACCAAGTCTTCCCTTTTGAAAGGTCCTACCTAGTGCAATAGTTGATAGTGTCCCATACCACCACCTATCCTATGAAGTACGTTCTTTTAGAAGACTTAGTTTTATCAATTAATTCTTTGAGTTAGTTTAACCGACATAGACCATGAGAGTTAGACATAGAAACCCGATGTTAACCCCTATCGGATGAAGGATCCTCACTTGCCTAGAATGAGTTCATTCACATAAACTTTACATGGCTTTACCCATAGCTACATGTATGTGGGCACATAGAAAAGGGATAAGGATATTGCTACTATATGACTCATTCTCTACTAATGAGGAGTACTCATCTTTAGAGGTATATTAGAATACAACATCTCAACTCACAAAGTGTAATCAACCTCTCCTTCATATCCACATGGTGCTAGTCATAACTACCCAAATATTGTCAACATTATAGACTATAGGTTAAAAACAACTAGTGAACACTACATCTAATCTCACGAAGGGCATTCATCCTCCAACCGATTTTAGAAAGATCATGGAGGTACTGGGGTTTCCACTTAACAATTCATCTAAAATAATGAAGAGTGTTAACCCCAAAACTCCCCTTTAGTAGTTAACTTAAGTTCATTCATTCATTCAAGTGTGAGTGTGTGTTTACATGTGAGCACAACTTGCACATAAGCTTAATATCATTTACATTACACTCCAATACATTGTTAGACCTTCTTTCATGACATCACACCCTTTAACATTAACTATATAATAATTTAAGGCATCTTCAACATAATCCTTAACGTACTTCTCCTAAAAAAAATTCATAAAACACTTAACAAGAATAACTTTATTTAAGCATACTCCATAGACTATTTCACACAATAGGTGCATAAGGAACATTTTTAAAAATAGCATCATTTTAATATTATTTCATATCAAAAGCCTTCATGGACTCATTCACAATAAATATGTCACTTCACATTCATGCAATTCAAATAAACACCGGCACCAAGAAGGTCCATAACACGCATGATCATTTCAATTTTTAAATTAAACAACGTAACGTACATACCCTTTAATACAAGCTTTCATTACCTATAACATTTTGTAATCATTTCATCATAATTTGAACTTAGGGAAGTCGCTAAAAAACAATAAAAACCAAAGCTCATTCTTTATACAAACATGCTCATTTAACCTTAAGCCAACATTTGAAAAAATATATATATCATAATTTCAGTGTAGTTTTCTCCTTAAAACCACCAAAACATCTTATAAATATCATTAATAAGTCATTCAAATTGTTTTCATGCTAAACCAACATTAAGAGTTGAAGATACAAGAAACAAGGGTTGAGAATCCATTTCTAAAATTCATTAGAACGGAATCATTTAATGGAAAAGAGTTCAAGGATGGATACCATACCTTCCATTGAAAAAATACCAACGTTTTTTGATGAAGAAACTAACAACAACGGCCCTCCTAGCTTTTCCTGACTTCTATATTCCATGGTGACTTGAGAGAGGGGTATTGTGTTTTAGGAAGAGCGGTCTAAAATGATGTCTTAGGGTTTAGACCACATTAATATAACTAATAAGCACTAAAAATAACGTCCTAGGGTGAGAAAATAATTGGCGTGAATTTACAAAACACCCCAAGCCAAGGCAGCAAACTTACAGGTTTTTTGGAAGTGGACAATCCACGACCTAAGCAATTGGGCGTCAATGAGTTGACGGCCCGTGCTGCTGAGCATTGATGGCCTCCGAGGCTTGTTTAAATGAGATCCGGACCGCCCACCAAGAATGGAATAAGGGCCCCAGTCAGTGGGTCGTCGATGGGCCTATGCTCAGTAGAATGCTACGTTGATTGGGAATTGTTCTTGGCAGTTTTTTTAAAATCATGGGCCCTTCATCTAGGGTCCTTTGTGGGTCCAAGGTTGGGTCGTTCTCGAACGTTAAAACCCAAAACTATGTCTTCTACGTCTTAGGACCAAATCAAGAATGTTTCGATTAAAAAAATATGTAAAATTCATTCAAACACCACAAGACACACAAGCGCTATCTAAGACACACATTCCAAACTTCGTGGACATTCCTGGGCGTTTGACCTCAAAACATAAAAATGTACAAAATGCCTAAGAAAACTAAAATAACTCATTTTAAATTCAAATTAACTGAAGAAACAATAACGAGGCTCTAGTTCACCTTAGTTCGTTTTAAAGCGTTACATTTGCCCCCACTATAGATAACATTCGTCCTTGGATGACACTAAAACTTCAAGAGCAACAAGAACTCACTTAGCATCACATAATACATTACAATGTAGATCAAAACACTAAAAATCAAGACATCATTTATGAAGGAGCATCATTTCATATTTTTCGAAAACATCGCATCATAAACACTTTTCAAAAAACTTCAAGAAGTCATAATTCATTCTTAACCTTATTTTATGGAGGAACTTCCTTATCCAACATTAAACATACTCATATAAAACACTTTTGCATGAATTCAAACTGCAATAAAAAAAATGTTCTCAGAATCCATAAAACATATAGTGAATATCATTGTCCACAGGCAAACATGCAAAACCTCACAAATTCGATCTCACTTTCACTTCTTCACTCATGGAGGAACTACCTACTTCAAAATAAAACATGCTCATAAAAATAATTCCTAAAAACATTGAAATCATTGTTCATGCAAAAATGTAATTTTCATAAAATTTGAACTTCATTACAGTGAATTGAAAACATCAATATGTCACATGCTTAAAAATTTTCATAATGCACCTTTCAAGAAACTTTACCAAGATGGAATGAAAATATGAGGGACAAGACCACACTAACTTACTCCAAAGTGACTATGTAAGTTTCACTAAGTGCAATGTGGGAGTAGCATCCCATAAGTTTTATTTCATTTACATTTAACTCCTATACATTCTTAGAGATTCTTTCATCATATCACACCCTTTAACATGAATTACATAAGCATTTAAGGTATCTTAAAAATACTCCTTAACTTCTCATTACAAGATTCATAAATCACTTAACAAGAGTAAATTCATTTAAGCATACCCTCTAGCCTATTTCACATAATATTTTCATACGGCAAATTTAACAATAATAGCATCATTTTCATCTTATTTCATATAACAAGCCTTCATGGCCTCATTCACACTAAACATGTAACTTCACATTCATACAATTCAAATTAACACCGCCACCAAAAAGGTGGACCATACAACTAAAGAACATATCAAAATGTAAATTAAACAACGTAACCGACATAAACTTTATTCAAAGAATTCGTTACCTATAAAATTTTATAAACATTTCATCATAATATGACCTTAGGTAAGTAGATAAACAATAATAACAACAAGAGAAAACCAAAGCTCATTCTCGACACAAATATGCTCATTTAACCTATTTTAAAGCAAACATTTAAAACAAGCTTTATCATTATTTCATTGTAGTTTTAGCCTTAAAAACACAAAGTAAACTTATAAATATCATTAATTGGTCATTCAAAACATTTTCATGCAAGACCATATTTAGAGTTGAAGATAGTAGAAACTAGGGTTGAGAACATATTTTTAAAATTAATTAGAAGGGACTTCTTGAATGAATGAATTCAAGGATGGATACCATACCAATCATTAAAGAAATACCAATGAGTTTTTATGAATAAACAAATTTAAACAGCACTCCTAGCATTTTTCGACTTCTATCTTCCATGGTGACTTGAGAGAGTCTTCTAAGAGAGAGGGGTTTTGGATTTTAGGAAGAGGGATCTAAAATGAGGTCTTAGGGTTTAGAATACTTTATACCTAATAAACACTAAAACTAACGTCCTAGGGTCATAAAAGACTTGGGTTGAATTTCCAAACACACTAAGTCAAGTTGGCAAATTTATAAATTTTTTTGAAGTGGCACTACACCATTTTCGGCCTACAGCAACACTACGTAAGTGTAGCCTAAACTAGCATAAAGTGTGGCCTTTAATAAAAGACTACACTTTTGGACATTCAGCAACACTTTTTAGGGGCTGCCCAAAAGAAGTGTAACCTTTGACATTAGGCAACACTTTTTAAATGTTGCCACCTTTGGCAACACTTATAAAGCGTAGCCAAATAGGTATAAAGGCACGCTTTGAAGACGTGCATTAGCAACACCTATTTTTTGTTAGACTACACTTAAAAGCGTTGCCTTTTTAGATTAATTGGTCACACTTAAAAAGTGTTGCCTTTTATTGGTCATCTATTGCAACATTTATAAAGTGTAACTTTATATCTCATCTATTGCAACACTTATAAGGTGTTACTTTATATGTCATCTATAGCAACACTTATTAATTGTAACTTTATATCTCATCTATAGCAACACTTATAAAGTGTTGATTTTATATCTCACCAATAGCAACACTTACAAAGTGTAACTTTATATCTACCTAGAGCAACACTTTAAAAGTGTAGCATTTTATCTACCTAGAGCAACATTTACAAAGTGTAACTTAAACATTTATAAGCCTACATGTAGCATAAATATATATAATATATTTACATACATACAAGTGACCTAAAACACAAAATGAACTAATTAAGCATTAAATTGAAGAGATATTTCAAATAAACTTCGAGAAATATTTTATGTACAACCAAAACATAGAAAGTGATTGCTTAAAGATCTCTAATATCAACAAGTTCCAAAAACCCAAAAGTGTCATTCAAACGTATATGACAACAATACAAATATTTCTTCATCTTTTGCCACAATGGATCGAGTTTACTTCTGGCCAAATTCAAATTCAGTTACCTACATTTTCCTGCACATTTAAAATAAAATTATAAGTTTGTGAATTAATTGTGGAAGTGCATAATCAGAGAGAATTCACTGCAAGACAACAAATCCAAATCTAAATACAATTTCAATGTAAAAATTACACATTATAAGGACTACAACATTTGTGCAGTCTTCTATTGTTGGCTCTCAAAAATTAAACTTCAAAAGTTTAATTTGTGCAGTCTTCTGTTGTAAACTTCAATGTAAAAATTACACACAAGTAGTTCAAACAAACCAGTGATGACCACTAGAAACAAGGTTCATAACATACTCTAGAAGTGTCCACAAAAATCAATACATAACAACATGAACATGATATTTTCAAAGAACTGCAGCATAGGCCAAGGTTCATCATCAGACTGCATCTCTAGTGCATACAAAAAAGACACAAACATCATCAGACTGTATCTCTAGGGCAAGGTTCATCATCAGACAGTGAACAAATAATACAGACAAGAGAAATGTTTAGTAAGAAGAGAACAAATGCTATAAAAAGACACAAACAAAATCTTGAACAAGTTAAAGATTTAACAGACAATGAACAAAAAATAGAGGACCAGTAGCAAGAAAAACCCCTGCAGATTTTCCTCTCCAATTTTCTCTGCCTTGTCTGTAGTTTAACAAGTAACCATTAAGGATCTATCAAACATAATAAATCTACCCACAAGATCACAGGCTGCACCACATTAATACTAACAGCCACAACCACCTAGCTAACATACACCAATATGAATAAAATAGCAATAGCTTCATAAAGGTGCAGACAGACCATTAAAAGACCAGCTACAATAGCCTTTACAATGAGCTGGATTCAGAAGCTAAAGGTAGAAAATAGTGTCATCATTTTTTTAATTGAACACCATTGGAATATGCCATAAAACATAATGTGTTAGCCACAGACTCCTCAATTGCACAATACTAATAGAACAATTATTCAACTAACGATTCGAATGCCTAAACCAAAACAAAAACATTCTTAACAGTTATAAATAGATGGACTAAACTTAGACAAGTAAAAATAAGTTTTGAATTTCATTACCAATAACACCAACTAAACTAGAAGAAAAACAATATTTACACTATTAATAGAGAATTTGAAATATAAAATACCTTTTGATGAACCGAATCTTGAGCTGACCCCGAAGAATATGGAAGATTTGTGCCTTTTACAGCTTGTGCACTACTTGCATCAATAGGTGAAGCAAGGTTAGATCCAACACACCTGGGTATATCTTGAAAATTCAATCCAGGGTTGTTTTGCAGCAATTGAGTGAATAAATGTCGCATTTCTTCTCTCAATTCTTCCTTTAGAGAAGTGATTTCATCGGCATGCTTTTGTTTTAGATTGTTAATTTCCTCATCTTTCTTCAAAGAACTTGTTGTCACTAATCTACCATAGAACCTAACTTGACCAGGCTGCTCCTTCCCAAACACTGCCCTAAATGCATCATCAGCTGTTTCCCCAGAATTTTGGCGACTTTGAAGTTCAGCCTATTGAATAAAATTGGCATCCATAGTGAATTGTAAGTAGTATCAAGCATTAAAATATTATGAAAACTTTTCGTAAAAAATAATTAAACAATGTCGACAAATAATTGATATCTCCTTGAACTTGCACAAGAAGAATAAGAAGAAGGCATACATGATTAAAATTTAATGTAGTCAAACTCCCCACGATATAAATGTTAAGTCTGAATAAAGTTCACTAATAATCCTCTTTGAAAAACTTACTATTGCAACTTGGGTATCAGCCTGGATTTCCTTTCCCGTCTTGGTACGAGTTGCAATAAATATTTCTGGCTTTGATGGTTCTTCGTTGTTGTCTTTGGCTGCACGCTATAGATTATATCAAAAGAAATTTTAAAAAATCAGTAAGTTCTTATAAAGTACAAAAAAATGAAAATCAAATTTTGTATGAAATGTCAGCTAAGTATTACCAATGCCACGCGTACTCTAGCAAAATTAATAGGTCCCATTCGATGCCTCCACTTTTGTTTTTTCCCGTTTTGAGAATTCATCTCGCATATAGCCTATTGTTAAAAACAAAGAGATAATTGAATTGATATCTATAAAAATAAAAGATATGACACAGAATTAGTCGATGAGTGGAAATGCACCATTTTAACCTTACTTGAACAGTTGGGTGTTTCCAATACTCGATCAACTGGCGGAATTGATGATGTGGAATGCCATCAGGACATTTTGCTAGCATATCCTCAAGGGTACTGTCTTTATCAAAAAAATTCTTTTTAATTTTTTGCTTATGTCGCCTCCAAGCATCACGAAGACCAGTCATCACCCACTTCTTTCCTTCTACTGGAAGTAGAAATTTGGACTATGCAAAATAAAATATATTTAGTTTCAGTAAGTAAAAAAAATATGAATTCTCATGAGTGGTAGTTTTTACATTGACGTATTCCCACATGCGCTTTTTAGTATCCTTTGGCACCACATGCCAACTAGTGTACATCAAGCTGATGAATCTAGGATTCCTTGCAATTGTTCCTATAAAGTTGCTTAATTGTGAAACTATCTTATTAGTTGGTCCCACCGCTTGTCCTTTATCAAATGTAACCTCCTTTCTTTCTTCCAAATTTCTTGCATGAATATCCTTACATGTTGTATGTCCTCGAACTTTTTTTGGCTTCGACATTTCTAGATTGATTTAACAGACGTGAAATAAGATATTTCTTTTATAATGAGTTCTAAATCATACAAGGTTTAAAACATACCTTTTGTACTACAATCAATGTCAATTTCCTTTTCGACATCACATTTATCTTTACTGAATTCTTCTTGTTCCACACGATCATCCAATCCTTTGTTATGTTCATTAATAGTAGGAGTATGCATAAATTCGACATCACTTGTTGTGTTGTTGTCACGTTTTGTTTCATCATCATTGTGTATCCCTTGATCTTTTAGAAACTGATCAAGAGTACTAGCTGGTATGACCGGCTTCCTCTTTACCTGTTTGCAATTCGGTAGATCAAGAATATCATGTCGTGCCTCTCCATTACCTAGTGTTGTTCCAGTCGCATGTGCTGAAGCAGTAACATCTTTCTTCAATGACGTATGGAACCTTGAAGATGATTGAATGACTGATTTGTTTCCAAGCAATTTACTCTTTCCTTGTTGTGGAATGAAATCCTCAAAATTCTTTCTTTTATGTGATAGTAGTGCCTGCTCTTTCTTAGCTTTATCATTGCGTTCATTTGCAAGTTGTTCTCTCTTAATCTTGAATTTGTTGGCCAATTCAGCACTTGATCGGTATTGCATATCAACATCCAGATTCTTCAATGGACTTTGACCTTTGTTAGGATTTAAACCCTTTTTCTTTAGCATTGTTGATTGATTCATTGTTTTTGCTTTGTTTAAATCTCTTCAATTTGTTTCCCAATAGTAAGTAAACCTACAAAATAATATGATTGTTTAAGTGAAAGAAGTAGCAGCAATGTAATTTTGATATAAGGTTCACAGATGGATAGCTTCTTATAGTAGATTGCAACATTTTAGTTTCTAAAATTTTCAGAATTTCTCTAATATCCAAAACTTCCAAAATTTCCTGAATTTATACATTAAAGTACTGTATAATATTGTAGAACTTATACAAAACAGTAATGTAATTACAGAACACATTTTAAATCACATAATAAGTCAAACACACATACGTACAACAATCTAGGTGCAACACTATAATGAGTAAAGGTGCTAAAAGAGGAAGTAGACATAAAATCATATACACAGAGTCAGGATATCTCATATAAAGGATTCATATATGCAATACCAACTAACTGATATAAAGCATAATTGTTGATACAATTTAATTAAATTTGGTATTTGTCATAAGACTCATTAGTCTGCTTATAGACTTAGCTAACAATGTGCATGTGGGATTTAGTGAATTTTTTGTAAGGCATAACTCAATATTGTAATGAAATGGGCTCTAATAAAGCAGAATGAATAGGGACTAAGGAGTGTAACTTAATACCACTATGTAACTGAATACCACAGTAAAATAGGACGGATTGAAATTGGAAGAACTACATGAACAAACAGAAAAAATTGATAACATATGAAACAAGATATTTCAAACAACTGCAGACGCGACTGTTTAAAAACTGGAGAGCTTCTTATTACTTAAATTAATAAAAGGTAAAGTGTTGTACCTCTCTCGGAGCGACAAACTCCGGACAACGACCAAATCAGAAGCAACTTCAAACTACAGAGTTGAATGCCTCTAATGCCAACTGCCTGATAATAAAATGAAACCAGAAAGTATATTAATAACAAACAACCAAATCAAGCAAAAATCAGCTAGAAGTATAGGTTCCTCAATAAAATAATAATCAGATAAGAAGGCAACATATTACATTCTACAGATTAGATATATTAATGTGTTTTACCAAAAAAACTATTATATTACAAAAAAATAGTGAGTGAGCACTATATGATCATCACAACAAAACTATTATATTACAAAAAAACAGTGAGGGAGCACTATATGAAACTCATGGTGTGTCTTCTTCAGACTCGACTTCATCATCAAACTCATCTTCATACTCATTTTCAGTCTCGTCTTCAAGCGCATCTGAAAACTCATCTTCATACTCATTTTCAGACTCATCTTCGAACTCATCTTCGAACTCATCTTCAAACTCTTCTTCATACTCGACTTCAAGTTGTTGATTGACAAATTCCTCCACAGGCACATCAATGATTGTTTCTGGTAAATCAGTCCTTATTAAGAGTACTTCACCATTATCTTTTGGTATAGATGGACCGTTCGAATGTTCAGATGGCTCATTTTCATAACTTTGTGGGAGATTAGATTCAACTTCATCACCCATGTTAAACAGGTCTCTTGGAACAGTCTTCATAACATAATGTTTATCTTGATCATATGGATCTTGCACATAGAAGCATTGGTGTACTTGAGATGCAAGCACAAAAGGCTCTTCCTGGGAACATCTCTTGTTAAAATAGACATAAGTAAGGCCATAAACATCTTTTTCAACCTCATACCAATCACACTTAAATAAAACAACCGTAAAATGGCTGTAATAGTTTAATTCAACAATATCAACTATTCTACCATAATAAGTCAAATCTGCAGCAATCGGATTTTTATCCTTTGAACTTGCAAAGCTTGTAGTTGAGGCAATTAGTGTAACACCACTATTTTGTGTTTTACGCCTTGTATCACACTGCCTATCATGGAATCTATATCCATTTATGAGATACCCACAATATCTTTTCGCAACAGAACTTGGTCCTCTAGATAATTGTTTTATCAAATCAGACACATCCTCTTGCAAAGCACGAGTTTCAAACCATTGAGAGAAGTTTTGACAATGATTCTTTGCTTTTCTCCATTTAGATCTTCGTGACTGATTATTAACCTCTTGCTCATGCTCTCTACAAAACATTTATTTTATTTGTTAAAACAATAAATTAAATAAGATAAAAATTAATTATACAAAAAGAATACTATATTCAAATTAAGGTACCTAATATATTCTTGAACATCGTCACAATTTCCCAATTAGTATGCATGTGCCTGACTTAGTGACTTGTCATCTAAAATGATTGGATCAGTTTTCTTTGCTCCTAAAGGAACTCCTTTGTTAGAAAACAAACTCACAGGTTCTGCGTCACTTGGGTCACATTCATCATTATTTCGCGCTCTCCTATTAAATCTGGTATGCACACCCCGATGCAGATATTCTGAGAATAAATTCATGCAGTCTATTCCCACTCGTGTCTCTGCTATGCAACCTTCTGGAAAACGCCTGTTGCGAATGTATGATTTGAATGTACCCATTTCTCTTTCAGTGGAATACATCCATCGATTTTGCACTGGCCCGACTAATCTCACTTCATTCACCAAATGAATAGGCAAATGAATCATGATATCAAAAAATGAAGGAGGAAAAATTCGCTCCAACTGATTTACTGTTTCTATGATCTCTACTTCTAAGCAATCTAGTTCCTCCAATGTGATTACTTTTTGGCACAAACGATGGAAGAAGGAACTTAGACGAATCAAAGGAATAGCCACATGATCAGGAAGAATGCTTTTAATTGGTATTGGAAGCAAGTAATGTAACATGAAATGAGCATCATGGGTTTTATAATTAGACACCTTTCTTTCATCCAAGTGCACACACCTTGATATATTTGAGGCACTACCATCAGGTAGCTTGGCTGTCTTTAAAACTCCACAAAAGATGGATTTCTCTCCATTTGTCATTGAGAAGCATGCCTTTGTAAGCTTTGTTCTCTTACTATCTTCTGTATCTTGTGGATGAAGGTTCTTCCTGATTCCCATATCTTTCAAATCATACCATGCTTTTGCATGATCCTTTGTTTTTCCTAAAATATCCAAAAGAGTTCCAAGTATGCTATCAACTATGTTCTTCTCTATGTGCATTACATCAAGGTTGTGACGTAACAAGTTATGCTGCCAGTAAGGTAATTCAAAAAAAATTGACCTTTTTTTCCATGGGCCATCATTTGATCTCTTTTTCTTTTTCCCAAACACATTTTCAAAATCACGTAAGCTATTAAGAACATCAATTCCCTTTAAAGGAGCTGGAGGAGGCCTAAATTCAGTTTTTTCATTGAATGATCTTTTGTTTGATCTCCATGGATGATCCATCGGTAGAAAAACACGATGATCCATATAGCACATCTTTCGACTATGTTTAAGATAGCGAGAATTAGTGCCATAGTTACAGCAAGGGCAAGCAAACTTGCCTTTTGTACTCCAACCAGATAACATAGCATATGCAGGAAAATCACTGATTGTCCACATAAGAGCTGCCCGCATTTGAAAAGTTTCATTTCTGGAAGCATCATATGTTTCAACCCCAGAATCCCATAATAATTTTAACTCGTCAATCAATGGTTGTAAGTAAATATCAATGTCATTTCCAGGTGATCGTGGTCCAGGTATAAGTAAAGAAAGTATGGAATATTCAGATTTCATGCACATCCAAGGCGGCAGATTATAAATCATCAACATAACTGGCCATGTGCTATGTGATATACTCATGGTTCGAAATGGATTGAATCCATCACTTGACAAGCCAAGTCTCACATTGCGACAATCTAGTGTGAAATCTGGATGCACCCTATCAAAGTCTTTCCATGCTAGACCATCAGCGGGATGCCTTAACTTTCCATCTTTAGAACGTTTCTCTTCATGCCACCTCAACGAATCTGTCATCTTTGAGCACATAAATAGCCT